GTACTGGAACAAATTAGATTAAACTGGTTCAAAAATATATTGAACCTGAACTACAACATAGCCAAATGTACACATGCTTTCAGGCTTATTTTTGATTTTCCATTCATTCAAGCAAAAGAATGCATTTTTTTCAGTTGCAGTTGAATTTGAATTATATGCAAAGTTAATATGCATTGAAATGAATACCATGACCGAGGGGACCCGTGAGACATTACTCAAAGATTATCAGAATGTCTACCACTGCTGCAAGTATTTCTATGTCAAATTCCCACTTGATGTGTGATGTTCTTGTTGTTTTGAATGACAATATCAAAATCAAGTGTGAACAAATGCACTTTAGCTCTCATGCTGACAAAAATCATACACATAATATAGGGTCCTCAACAAATTCAAACAAATAACGATGGAATCGTATAAAACATATAAAATGTACATGCAACCATTTTGCGCTGTGATTACGCTTACTAATACCTCTTGTTGAGTTTCTTCTCTACACTTGACAAGTTGTCTAGTTAAATCACCAATTTCTCCTTCAACAGCATCTTTTCTGCTCTGAATCATCTTCTCCAGCTGTCCAGAAAAATATAATTCCAGTTTAAGAAGGTTTTGCACTGACTACAATGCTCAGTAAATATGAAGTACATACCTGTGATTCATTATCATATTCAGACTTGCTGTCAAATCCATTACTGACATTGACCTTTRTCATATCTTCATCTTGTGTCTTATTTGCTTTGCCTTTATTTACACTATCTTTGACTTCTTGCTCTCTTTCCAAGGTTTTATTAACAAGATAGCCATACTTTCCTAATCCTGTATAACAGCCCTCTTCACTGGTTTCAGTGTCATAATCGTTATCATCTGATTCTTCTTCTTCATCATCATCATCATCATCAGAATCATCATCATCATCATCATCACTTTCAGTATCACCATTCATGTATTCAATGAAATGGACATTTGTGAATTTCTCATCATCAGAGGAGTCATTGTGTGCAGCATAACTGTAACTGAATTCTTGGTTGTTATCCATGTTGAATCGTACACGCTTCTTCGGCTGCATTTTAGATATGTCACACTATCAGATAAAGCTTTCAATGAACTATTATTCTCAAGAACATTGTCAAATTGAACAGTGTAATTTAGTGAACAAGGAATTCATTAAAAATTAAAGATCACTCAATCTCAACTATGATCTTGTTTCTTACTATTTAACACCTCATAAAAATGTTATTTCTCTATATGACTAGAAACTTATTAATAGCTTTTTCAGAAAAGCTGAGTACTATGGAAATAGAATATTCCAAGGATGAAATACATTGAAGATCATTGCATCACCACTCTGAAGGTTTTTGCTACTTCATAGTGACTATGCCAGTTTAAATGTAGAGTTCTCATGGAATATACTATGCAGTTTAATAGCATTCTGCAGGGGGGGGTACTCCTCCAACGTGGGTGGGTGGGTGCCGCTGGGACCTCAAAACCCTGATCCTGTTCCAGAGCACTTGAAATCGCTGAAACCGATACCCTGTTCCAGAGTAAAATCCAGCACTAGCTTGCGTGTAGACTGAATTTTTACCCCATGAATTTTTACCCAACATTAATAATTTGGGAATTAAACCCTGACCTTGTTCCAGAGAAAATTCGTTAAAATCGATACCCTGTTCCGGAGTAAAATCRCTAAAAACGATACCCTGTTGCAGAGTAAAATTGCTGAAAACGATACCCTGGTTGGCAGCACGTACCCGTATATCGAATGTAGGGGATACCCCCCTGGAATACTCAATTGAAAATAWTTCACTAAAATTCATGTTGATAAACCATATTTATGACTTTTGTAAATCACTCTCACCTTYTGAAGTCCAYTTTTGCCATTTTTWATTTTATCAGCAACTTCCAARAGACTATCCAGTTCGTGAGAATCTGTTGARCACTATACACAACAAATACAYGTACTTCAATTTTTATCAYTTTCATTATAATCATTTTCGTGTCAAAAGACACATTTTCTATAATCTGATCATAATCTACCCCAAAATGTACGTTCTTTAATATAAATTCCTCATTTTGTGAGCTAATAAATCCCTGGGTTGACTCACAAGTTGTTCTTTAGACCTCATTTTCCAGCATAAAACCAAACAAATTCCACCAAAAGCAATTGTATCAGTGCATACATTGCATAAGTGGTGTGTGTTGATATAATGTGCGAGCTGGACTTTTCCACATCCAATTTAATACCACACTCCACATGCATAACAGACGTATTGCTCTGGGGACCAGATTGTGTCATCATTGACAATCTCCAAACCATAATCCAATCAAACGATTGGATCTGGTTGATTTTATTGTTTTTTGCTTCAGTTTGGTTTGATGTTTGACTATTAAGTAGTTTACTATGAGTAATATTACTTTGTAGGAAAGTGAATAAATCTTACTTACGTCAGAATTAGATCTTTCTTTAGCAAAGTAGCTGACATCTCCATTTAAAAACCTAGTGTCAGAGTCCTTTGTCATTGAGACGTTAGCTGTGTCTTGCAAAGCCTGTCAGAGAAAAACCCAGCTGATATTAGCATCAATATTAGTTCTGATCTAATACGGCAATGATGGAGTAGAATATTAAACTGTCAAATTTAAGCTTAATGTCATTAAATATCTCTTAGACGTGTTGAATACTGATACCAGCGGAAAAGATCCTGATATATTGACATAGTGAAACAACACTTCTTCAGTGAGAACTGGTGCCGTATAATCTGATGCCAAGTTTGATTTTAAATGATGAACATCTACCAATGTAAATATCACACAGAGTTTATTTTGTACGGAAAAACACACACAAGACACAGTATAATCCTCTTGAATGAAAACAGASTTTTCATCTCATATAACCCACTCAAACAACTTTATCACATAACCAACTAAGGACTTTAAAAGTTAGATAAAACGTAAAGTGAGGTAGAGTACGTCTTATCTTCGATTTACGGCTGACAAAAGCAGTTTGGTGTGTATATTCAAAGTTCATAACCTTGACAATATCATTCTAAAAATGGACGTTCTCGGTACGGGACAGACAGGGTAGACTAGACGAGGCTAAAAATTCTCGGTTATATTGATAGCAATTTCAGTAAAAATCCCTAAGAAGCCATTTCGATGCTTCTCAGCTAGCCTCATGCCGAAAGCATTCCTGTGTCGCTACACGTATGCACCAAAAAACATCGTCAATTACCTTGGAATAAGTAGGTTTTCGCTCCACAAGTATGCCAGAATAGCTCATTTCTACCATATCGAGCTAACGCAATTTTCCCATCGACWAAAAATCCACGGATCCATGGTTTGTTAGTAAGATAATCAACATCACAACATCRCGATCGACTTTTGTTACTTTGAAGTACCAATATGGCCGCTTCGTCCCAAGGGACCGGGGCTGGTTGCCATTGACAACACACAAAACTGGATCGGCTTTGGATCGGCTAGGGTTAATACTTTTGTCGACACGGTTGCTATTTATTTTGCTACTTCTTACTTTTTTTTACTTTAGAGTGTTTTTTTTATTAACCTGTAAAAAAATGAAATAGCCAACGTGTAATATTATGTGATACAACAAAAATAGTTTCTTATTTTCAACCCACAAATAAGATTTATGTTAAGTCTTCATCATAGATAATCTTCAAATTTTAAGTAAACTATCCTTGTAATAATAATAATCACTTGTAACTTGAAAGTATATAATCTAAATAAATTGAGAAAACGGGATTCCTGTGGTATTGTTAGTAGATKATCTACTCAAATACTTTTATCCAGATCTTTATCATTGATTGCTTACAGTACAAAAATCAATAGTTATTTCCAGTGTATGGYAGTCATCAATGCTGAACATTACATTTATGAATGATGTATAGTCGTCCACGTCCAAATGGAAGCTTTGCGATCAGTGAAATATTCATGACTGATTGCAACAAACAACGGGATATTTTTCYATTTGAAAAAAAGATCCATTTGAAAAAAAGATCGTCAAAACAAAGTAAAGAATCCATCAAGTCTCACTGGAAGAAATATTTTCAGTTATTCATTTAGGAAAACGAACAATTGTTCATTCCTTTGCAAGGCTTTAATTTCTAAACGGCCTGTTATCCTCCATTTGGTTTATACTTTTTTTTGACCTCCTCCCGTCAACTCAAAATAAAAAAAAACGGTCGCAGACCATTGATACTTCACTTTTAGTTCATAACATTTTCTTGGAAAACGAGGAGATTTCCAGTGAAATCTTGAGACCAGGAGACCGTSCCGCTGCCATACTGTCGTTAGTCTTCGTGTCAGTTGTCAATGCATTTTGTCAATGGAGTTGTTATAGTTTCGTCAGTTGTCTTGTAGTCTTTAAGAATGATGTCTTGAGCTATATCTTGATTTGCGGTTCATTATTGAAATTTGGCATCTCAAAATGGAGAATCTTGCTATCAATGCTAGATTAATTTCTAAAATGAGACAGTTTTGTTCCGRGTACCAGTACGCTGCAGAGTCGTGACGGCTACAGAAGGTCARTGTTATTTTGGGATCGGGTTGGGATCACAGCTGCTGGGATTCGGATCAGGGATCCCTGGAATAACATTCAAGTTATCACCCAATTTTATAGGATAGGAGATATTAGAAAAATAGGAATTAGGAAATAGTAGAAGAAATTTGGGATCAGGGATTAAAGTTTTGACCCTACAAAATGTGATCATAAAAAAATAAATAATTTATTGTGGTCCTGTATAAGAGATCAACGCCGTACGTTTCTTTTCTTGCAGATTGTGATTATATCAAGTCTCATTTGCAGAATACCGACGTTCCATGGAACAGCGCAGAGCCTGTAGTCTCGTTTCAACCGTTTATAAGGCCTTCTTATGTTATTTTTTTGTAGTCAACAATCGGCAAAATTCGCAGTCACGATTATCGCTATTATACAATCCGAAATCCGACGTTAAATTTTCAATAAATCCGGCAATCCGCTCGATTTTTTTCTATTTTTTCTTTAAATCCGTAATCCGCGTGTCATTTTAKGATCAGATCCGCCGATCCGAAAACCTATTCACTCCCCCCCTAGAGACTGTAGATGATGATGATGAACGTTACTGTAGTCATCTTTCATACGCTACTTTAAAGTGGAAAAACTAAACCCACCTCTCAGATAACTGTTAGAAAACATTCAATATATTTGTGAAGTTACTGCATGAACATTCATTTTGATGTTTTCATTTTCAACATTTTCATTAAGTCTTGCATTGTCCAGTAAAAGCTATACTTATGATGGGAACCCTTACTCGCAATCTTGTTGTAAGGGACTGCGCAATAATTATCAGGAGCAGGAGCCCAGCATTACTAGGTAGTAATGGGCTCCTGACAGGAGTGATGCGTGTGTGTTTTGGGGGGAGCTTTAGTATCCAGAGGTCATGAGAGATGGGGAGCTTTGTCTCATTGTCTGAACGTACGATYTGAAAGAGGGTGGTCGATGTCAAAGTTCATCAACGAAGGAGAGAGAGGGGAGAYTTCTTTAATAATTTGAAACCAATTGCAAACTCAACAAACCAGCAAACAGTAAGATGGCTTTATAACTTGATAATTTTGTGAGCACTAAGGCCTACTCTGGGACCCAAAAGCTTTAAAAATTTACAAAAAAATTGGAGTCGCAAAAAGGCCGATAATAGCCTAAAAATTGCAGATTCCAAGAGATTGCATGGGCTCCCTGTGTTTGAACTTTCTTAGAAATGATTATATACCAAAAATGAAACATGACGTTGCTAGTTGTTATTCATAGTCATTCATGATAGAATGGTGCTTGCTAGCAGCGTATACAATAGTTTCGGATTTCCGATTTCAATTTTGGATTTGTTTCAGTTTTTGAAAAATCATTTCTACTTATTRCTGTAGACCTGTTTTCTGTTATGAGTAAGATTTTTATCGCGTAATATACATTTGAACCGCTCGAGATTTAGTTTGTATGTTATGGCAATTTTGTGGTATCAAACCATCATCCTGATCTGCTAGCTAAATTCTATTTCATATTGACATGCTTATTTTTATGCTTACTTTATTTTTCATTTCATTTCCCGTTACTTGATTATAATGATGGAGTAATTGTTCCAAGTGCGGTGAATAAATGGATGATCATCGCAGTGTAGATAATAATCTAATCGATTAAAAAATAATGACCGCTCGCCAACATAGTTGCCTTCATAGCTCAGTTGGTAGACCACTACACCTACATCGCAGAGGTCATGGGTTCGATTCCCGCTGAAGCCCGTAATGTTTTCGGGGGATCCATACATTTCTTGATAATCGCTTAGATTATTGTCTACACTGCGACAATCATTATTCATACACACTTGATGTAAATTAGAGAGTTAGGCAGTCAAAAAGGGTGTTCACAGCCAGGGTTTGTTACGTCCCGCCAATGCAGTGATCATGGAAGAAGTGTGGACAAGTGACCTTCAGTTATCGTCTTATCGTCCTTCATTCGAGACCTGCGAGACGTATCGTCTAACCATTTGCATCTCCTCAGYTATTTCAAGATACTCATTATTTGTCCAGAGACAAAACACCTGSCTCTCACAAAGCAGTCCGGTGCTCTACCAACTGAGCTAACTGGTGTCGGCTACATCAATTATGCCTGTTTATTGACCTTGTTTCTAAAAAAWGAAMAACTATTCTGTGGCCGTCTTTTCTTTCTGCTGAATTAACGATCAGAAAGTAACACATACCGCCCGCAATGATAGAAAGCATTCTGCCATTGATATCTTCATCGCCATTGCCATCATCATCAGTTATTGGTTCGATTTCTTCTTCCTCTTTAACTGATTGATCATCCCCAACGATCAGCTGCTCTTACTGAGTTCACACTTCACAATGCATAATAGGCTGTAGTGTGGGCTCCACTTTGACATCGTTACAAACTTATCAAAAATTATATACCCAGACAAAATAAAATCGAGATTGATAGAGCTGTTTATCAAAACATTATAATCCCGTCACTATTAAAAGTAACAGTCATACGATGGCGGCAATCCGTCTTGTTTCACGCCATCAATCTCACTCTCTGTGTCTCTACAATATGATTTGGTRTAATTTCTTAACATCTCGCTATATTATACAAAAATCAATGTAAAAAATGATTTATTATAAAAAATTAGTATTTTCATTGCTATAGTCTTGTAATTTGGTGAGTTTTACGCTATTGAAAGGACGCGTTGTACTTGAAACGCCACGTTAATTTGCGCGCGAAATGTCACGCAGCTGTGCGCTTAATTCGTTCAAAAACGTATTTTCCTTCGAAAGCTATATATATGTGATTTTTTATTTGTCAAAGCCTTAAAATATTAGAAAGCTAGTATTCGATGATGGAAATCGTCTTTAATCCCAGACATATATCGCAAGTTCCTACTTAGCGGCTCAGTTGTTGTTCATTTGAACAAATTCTTCCGGTGTTTCGCACGCGCGCTGAATAAAACTCGCCAATGATAAACGACCCGGTCGCCCTCGCAACCGTCAGTASAAAATTCACAAGTGTTTGGTTGCTAATAGAACGACTCTAAACTCAGGTAAGAAGTACTATTTTCCTTGCCATTGGTGTATAATACTAACAAGGAGTACATCCACCCATTTACCCATACAAACAATACAAACTACGAATTGACTGTACAAAGCCACAAAACTAATAACCTTGACTTGTCGAGCTCCATAGAGAGAAATCATTTGGTTCCAGTCAAACTACAATGTAGAATTGCTGGTGGAGTTTGTTGAATAGGCACGCAATACCAATTTAATTCTCATTGATACAAGGAGAAATTTTGTTTTTCGTTTCGCGCTTTTCACTGTAGTATCTTCTTTGGTATCTAATTTTTTTTTTAAAGATAAAAATTAAAAAGCTATTCTTTTAATAGCTTTCTTCTTGTATTGCACTTGTCATGCTATTTTTCGGCTTGTGATTTTTTAATTAAGAACCAATGTACATGAACAAAGACGTATTTCTTTTACGATGAGTCGGTTTAAACTGGTTAATTCATATCAAAAGAAGAAATGTCCGCACTGAAAGAACACAACAAGTCCAATCAATTTTGCCTAAAACTCCGGATATTTGCCGTACTTTGAGTGCATTTGCCAGTCGCCCGAAATTACCTCGAAACGAGCTCTAAAAAAACAACTATTTACTGTTTTTCTCRCAAAAATCTTTAGAGAGAAAAAGAGTAAAAAGATTTTTGCGCAAATCCAAGTAAATCTTTTGTTATAGCGCTTTTCRTCGAAGTGAATGATAAGCAGTTTTTTTTCTTTCTTCATCTTCATGCCTCCGGCTGTCCTTTCATATTTATTGACTAAATATATCTCTTTCTTCTTCGTATTCTTTGTTTCTTCTCATTCCGCTTTGAATTAAAATTTATTTGAAAGTAGCAATTTGGACACTGTTCCGCAAATATGTCCTCTTATCGGAAAGATTTTRGTCTCGATATGGCTCGCTCATTTCGATATAATTCAAAGCCAATTATCTGGCTAAAATCATTAATATTTGAAGGCCTGATGAGCATTGCTGAATTAAAACATTTTTCAAACGCCTAAATACACCACAAAATATCTATTTYAACCATGAAAACTTTTACTAACAATGGACTAGAATAAGACACGCATACATTCACGTGATCAGTGTTGAATTACCAAAACTGCAATCATTTTCATCTTTTTTTAGAACGAAATATCCTGAAAATTAAATTAGAAGATAGTGAAATAAACCGGAAACTCATATTCAGTAATCGTTGAAAGCATAGCATTTCTTATCGATCTGTCAAACCTGCAAGTGGCATTAGATGGGTGAGAAAAGAGACTGAATTTAAGTGGCTGTGGGAATTGATCAGTTGATTTATTGATACAATTGTCTGCTCATGAGTACAGACAAATAACAACCCCATAGTAACACCTGATCATTGAACCTTAAAGCACTGAAAAATGATATGAAATCCTGAAATTGATCGATTGATTCGCATGCGACTTCTTTACTCTTTCTGAAAAAAACAACAACACACACACGGTTCACACACAACATGGTGTTTTATAGTTTTTAGCAAATCATCGATGCTTTTAATAGTTCATTGTGTGATTTTGATGTACGAGTGCGTTCATTGCATCTGATCTGTATGATATTCAAAACAGCTCGCCTCTGCCTCCTTTGAAGCTATCAAAAACGCATTATATTAAAACAACACGTTTTCGTTTTTTGGAAGTACAACATGGTTGCGCTACTCAAAATGTGTACGTCAATGTCATCATGAAAATCGAGTGATCAAGGCAAGGGGCGAGCATGAATTCCATTGTTTTCCAAAATATAAACAACTAAACATGTACATACGCGTTGCCAATGATGAAAGTAGCCTTAATTATTGCACAGAGCCCTTTAGTTAAAATAGAAAATGTAATAAAGAATAAAATAAAAATTTAAAGCGATTTTGAGCGACTTTATTTAAGTCCCTTTCTTAGTTGAACCCCACTTGTGGTGTGAAGTCTGTGGAGTACTTTTTAAACACGTTAAGGTTTATTGCCCAATTTTTACACAAATATACTATAACGTGAAGAGTACTGCAGAGCGGTGCAAAAGGGCCTTGTTATGAGCCTTATATCGACGTTCGGTGAATTATCCCTGACTATTTTAACACATACAGACCGATGAAAATAATTCTTCTTTGCTGAAATAATGTGAGAAGAATTCTATCAAACTTATAGGTTGCGCGTCAAGCGCACGGAACGTGTGACTGCATGAGTGAAATACAGAGAGAGTGAAAAGAGTTTCAAGAGAATAAGTGCATTTTCCTCTGTTTAGTATATATTGAAGAGAAGCGAAAAGGTGAAAAGCCGCGGCTGTAATTTTCGAAAGACAACGAAACAGGATGTGAAACAGATTGAACGAAGCTTAACATGTGGTGTTTTTCAGTTCACTGCTAGGATGATTATCTTATTTTCTTCTTTTTTCCGCTTTAAAATTATTTGTCATTCATCGATCATTCTTTCCCTGATTCTTTCGTCGTATTTTCTCTTACTTACTAAATAAATATTCATTTTCTATTTTTCATTTTGTTGACATTCATACCATTCTTTCATTCTTCTCTTTTATTCAGTATTGCTGAACGTAGAGAGCTTGCAACGGAAAAACAACCGAACAATAAACTTGACAAAAGTCAATATGTATGCCGTGGAGTCCATGTGGGACTGCGCAGTAATTATCATGAGGAGGGTTTGAGTTTTGTCATTACTTTCAAATAAGAGTTAAGAAGTCTACCCCCTYGACTTCATTGATTAACTTGGACGTTGCTCCCCTCTTTTAAATCAAAAGTTGTAATTATATAAACTCACACTTAGTCTCATCTCTTACTCCGACGAAGGAAACGTCCGAACGAAACGTTAGTAAGTTGTTTCACCTACTTTTTTACGATGTTAAATTTATCACACTGCCTCTTMTATTAAAGGGACATTTCTAATTCACAATGCAAATCAAAACTTATAACTTATAATTATAAGTCAGAATGATCAGAAAACGTTCTCTGATAGAAGGCGGGCTAGTGGCGATTGTTAAAGGGAGATTATATGACCGTAAGAGACTATGGTTACGCTGGTTTACATGCAAAGTTTCATTTGTTGGGTCCATCTCGCTGTAAAATGGACCAAAGTCTACCACAGACTATATTTTACAGCATCAATCAGTTCTTATTTGCCATCAATCAGTAAAACCCAAAGTTCCTTTCGGHCGTGCAATTTCTGTTCGACAATTGCCATTTCGCCATTTTTCCGACAATTTTTTAAAAAAAAATGTGAATATGGAACACAGCAAGTCACGGYACGTATTAATTTCACTGATGTTATTTCTAGATCAGACTAATAAGATCGCCCAGAATGTACAATTATCGTCTGCAAGAAATATGCCACTCATCACGGGGCTCTTGTGTCGTGTGAAAGTTTCTCGAAAACAAGAATCTCAAAAACAACAACAAAATAATCACATCCTATTTGTGCACTCCACTAATACACTTTGCTCATTTGCATCTATTTATAGGTGTGTTTTTAAGTTGTTTCCGGTGCTTGAATTCATCGATTTAACAAATATTTACTACTTGTAGTGTTTTCAATATTAGTTTAGTTTTTTTTTTCGATAAATCAACCCACGTGCATCCTGGTTGTATAGCATATATAAACTGGGTGGATCCAGGATTCGCTTTACTAACGCGCGAAAAATAATACTGACTTCATTGCTTCAGGATCACTAGTATCTGCCCTCAAGCATCAACTTGAATGACAATGATAGACGTTAGACTTTCTAATCTTTATAATAATAATGATAATAATAATAAATATCAACAGAGAATGCTCATTCTCTCTCGTAAATATTGAAGATGTTGAAGCAGGCATTATGAGACCATATACATTCGATGTCTCTTGCTTTGTTCATAGTTGTGTGGTTTAGGACTAGTTTAATGGCATAGTAGACACGCTAAAATCCGACAACAATCGCGATTTAACTTTTATCACAGTTGGGAACAATATAGATAAGATTATTTTCTGACGTTAACGAGATCATAAAATAATCATTTTGTGGCGTCTTTAAACCATTATTGAATTAGTCTTGACATGCGCATAATGGCCTTAACCTTCGCCCACGGACATGCTCTATTTTAGCTTCTGTTCTGTTCTATTCTCTTTTATTCTCTTTTCTTTTCACTTCTTTTTGTTTTTCACAATTTCACCAAACGTTTTACCAGTATCTACCTTCAAAAAGATTTGTGGTCATGTTCTTCTCACTTTCATTCGTTCAAGTGTTAAAGTGGATGAAAAAAAAAACCCGGTTATTTTATAGGTCGCATTCGTATAGTTGAACATCGTATTTTAATTGGTTACGCTATTTTCTCAATTCTCCCAGGATTTTTCTCCACTTGGCGGTTTTTCTTTTTGTCAACGCCGCCAAATTATAAGCGAGTCTTTGTTTCCCTTTTTCCTTGAGTGAATACATCTAAAAGAGCTTTTGCTTTGTGCCGCCGCTTACTCAAGGTTTGAGTTTGGATAGTTGACTGAATCTCMCTGACTTTTGACTGGTTGTCTTGTGGTCTCTTCAGCATCTCTCGGATGTTTAGTTTGGCAGTGAATAAAACAACATCGGCAGTTCATGACAATAACTTTCACTTTAATGACAATAGACACAGAATTGACAATCGAAATGGAAGATCGTTTTTTATGYCTAGAAATTCAATAACAAATGAAGCGCAAATATACTCGGATTATCATCTCATTTGCATTGAACTCGACACATGTGAGGTTCGGTGATCAAAGTCGTCCTAACTAAGGGAAAAACGCCTTTGATTTACCGGGGTCTCGATTGTTCTCCCTTGCTACAAAGTACAAATGATTCTTCTTTTCTCCCCTAAGTGTAAAGCCGTTCTAGAAAAGGTTTTCCGTGGCAAATGTGAATTACCAGCAGGGAAGGGACTTGCTAGCGACAGCTGCCACTAATGAAACGGCTTCCTCTCTCTTCAATTGACGTCAGAAACTGACATTAAAATCCTAAAAGAGTTTCCTAATTGATAATTTTAAGAGAAATGGTTTCGTTTTGTTGGTAACGTGCTTCTGGAACAAAAGATAACCTCTATTTTTATCTTAAGTTTTWTTTCAACAATTTCAAGGTAAAATGTGCCTCATTGATTATTCATTAATGACTATTGTCTACTGTTATAGATGCAATATTCTTGCTTTGCGTGAAAGGACCTATTCTTCAAGAAAAAATAAAACTTAGAGAGAACTTCGACATTTTACTTCGGTAAATCGCTYGATTTTACTTCTAAATAGAAATGACTTGAAAGTTTTACARTTAGAATACTATACCCACGTACGTGCCAATTTGTTGGAGTTACTGTTTTGGAGTTAATCACACCTGCAATTATGCTTAAAATGACTTTATTCTGTTCTTTGAAACCCMCTTARAGGACCGGTTGTGACCGTGGGGGCAGTGCATCAGAACGAGGCTTGTCACTCATCTGTAGATTTCATTTMACCGACAAGAACTCTCTCAAAATGTGATCGCAGATGTCTCATTTTACCATTGCTCTTCTAGATCCAGCCAAGACGGGCCATTAACGGCAAAAATGTGCTTCAAAACAGGGCTGTTTATGATAGCCATTCTTGTCGTAATTGTTGAATGCTCCAAACTCAGAGAACGTGTAAGCAACATGACTTCATCGTCCTCCGGTTTGTCGTCAATGAACTGCCAATTTAACAAACTTTTCTCCATGTTCATAGAGAACTTTTAGAAAACTCCGTACTCTGCCGCAGTCAAGCATCATTCCGTTATCTGGGCTGACTGAATATGATACATTTTACAGAGATATWTTACGTCCAATCATGAAGGTCCGAGTATCTGGCACGGAGAATCACAGCCAAGTTCGTAAGGTAAATTAAGCTTAAGTTAGCCCAATTTATGAAAGATATTTAAGTACTTCTCATATTCCAATAATGTTCTCAAAGGACAAGGAAACGTGCTGTGTATGAATCGTTTTAGTTAATTTGCCGCTAAATTGCTCAAACTATGACTCGAGGGTATTGCTCGATGGTGTCGCACAGATTCGATAATCACATTAGCGCCCAAACAACTCTTCGAATTTCTCTATGTTGTCTTAGAGCACCACATCAATCGTTATGGTAAACATAACTCGACGATTAGGTTGATAGAGTTGTTGTTTTTGTTTTGCTCCCTTTATAGTTTTTAACCGGCGCACAATCAAGCCGTGCAGGTTGTAAATCGAAKACTTGTTCAACTACGAGAACTGATTTTTTACGCGCCAATGAAAAGGAAGATTTTCTTGGCAAACAATCTCAAATTCCCTATAAATCATATACATCAGTATCCAGAATTTCGACCTGGTGAACAYTGCTTGCGTGCTAAATAATTATTTASATCGCCCAAACCTTAAATTCTTGTGTAATATTGCCTAAAATACCTTCGTGGTACCGCCGTAACTAAGGCTATAAGGCAAATATCTAAGAACAATTACGCTTCGATTACGCGGATATTTCTCGACTTCTTGTGCTGTTTAAAGGATCTCAGCACTGCAAGCATTATCAATACGATTATCTCTTTTTGCATGATCGTATGTCTAATTACAGTTTTTTATAGTAAAAAAWTTTTTCGTATGTTTTCATTGTTGCTTCAAAATTTCATTTTGCGATGATTTTTGCGATACTGTGGTAACATTATTTTCTGAAAAAGCTATATTTAGAAAATTCAAAGCTTATCTTACATATAWAAGAAATAAGGAAAATTTGTCAATTTTTTCCTTCGTGGGGTGGGGATTTGCCTAGGAATAAAGAGTAAAAAGCCACCAATMRTTATTGTCAATTTTCTGCGGCAATATTATTAACATTACAATAATTATATTTTGTTTTCTTTCTTCTATATCTTAAATTGAGACAAAACAATAGCTCAATGTGAAAAAGCCAAAATATTACAAAACAGAGATACATAACATAGGAGAAGCCATAAATGGAATGGATTTTGATTGGTCAGTCAAGGTTTTTATATAGAAAGAAGGGCAGATGGCAGTTGTAAGCAGAATTAGACATCAAGGGATTCAAAAGGATATGGAAATAATCCCAAATTGTTTGAGATTTATTTGTCATCAGAAAAAAGTGGAATTACGCCCTTTAATGGTGTAATTTTGTGGAATGATTTCTATCTAGGAGGACATTTCAGCCACTTCTGAGATTCATTGAATATTGTTTTTTATCACACCTTAATGTATAATTTCTGTGGTCAATCTGTGTGATGAAGAAAATGTTATCTTCTTCAGGAAATTATGTGGTTTTGGCCCAATAAAAGGCAGTAGTAGAAAAAATACCTCAACATTTCTCATTTGGTTTTTAGTCATAAGAGGTTTAATAAGTGTGGGAATTAAAATCTCTCATTAAATAGTCAAGTATTTCTGAAAACCCTGTGCTATTATTTACTTGAAAAGAGACTTTAAAAGAAAAACTCAAGTGAGAGTTTAAAATGCTTTCATTTTGACCACAAGATGCCTTCTACAAGCAATTCCCTGATAACCTTTTATCCTCAGCCTCAAATTGAGATAATTATTACTTTTAACGCAGGTGATCTTTTATGCAAATATGAATACCTCRAAGAACATAAGATTCAATGCTTCTATGTCAATATTTACCAGCCTTGAATCTTAAATCTTTGTATTTGATGTAATAATAATGAATTTGAGTTCGATGCTATCAAAATAAAGTGATGGGCCTTTATTTAGGACCGATAAACACAGATACTTTGTCAATATTAAATATTGTTCTCAGTTTTTGATCAAATAATAGTAGGCATTAACTTCAAAAAGCAATCAAAATCATAATTTGGTCTGCACTGGATAATTGCTCAAACTTCACCAAATGTGTCATACACTTTTGATGTAAGGAACAAAAATGATGATTTCATAAACATTGTAATTTTAGCAGCTGTCATAAAAATATATTATTATTGTTTAAATAGAAGGTTGATTAGATGGGTTGTTTGTAAATAAACCTTTAGAAAGAGGAACTCTGACTAAGAGAGAAAGCCTGTGGGAACCAAGTAGGAGTGAAGCAGCCTAGGAGGATCTAGAGTGGGAGTTTACAGGAAAGGAAATGTCAATTTCCTTTTGATGATGAAAACTAATGAATTTAAAGTGAAGAATCATTAAGATATATCGTTTAGAGGAGTTTTTTTTCAACACTTTCAATACCAAGAAAATGACAGTTCTATTATGTCAAACTAAATRCAACACATAATGAAAAACAACAAGCATGACTAATTACTTTTGAAAAATAATGATTTTTTAAAGTAATTCCCTTTTTCTTCTCAATTTCATTAACAAATGAAATATTTTCCTAAGACAAACATAATTGACAGTTAAGTAGTKTGGTAGTTATAAGAGTATGTATAGCTTATTAGTATGCTGTCATGTATGTATATGTCCTACAGACATGTAATTTGTGACAAACAAGGTTCTTCTTTGGGATAAAGTAATATTTTGCCTATGTGGTAATATGTGTGAGAGTGCTGTGCATTCTTAGGGAAAATAATGTGTACACAACCAGGTTGGAAGTGTGAGTACATTGTCTAAGTTCAACAAGTACTAGCTTGGTTTTCTCCCTGTAGTATATCAAATGTGAGAATACAGAATTGACATGAGGTATCACGGCCCAAAATGAAAATTACACATAATAAGCTAACATAATCATTATAACACATCAAAATTTAAAACTCCATGGATGCATCATAGCATACCTAGGTCAATTTGTTCCCAAGTCAATTTGCTACCAGTCAGTTTGTTACGAATGTTTAGTCAATTCGCTATGTGATCATGTTACATCATACAATAATCAAAATTCATTGAGAATTAACTTAGCGAATTGACTAGTAGAGAATTAAGTAACAATGCGCGTAAGAACTGTAGAACTCTCTATTGTTCTGCGGCATTGCAACTTCCCCACATACAAATGTCTTGGTTTTCACAGTGATTATATRTCAACCTATGGGTAACGCATTTTTGAAATAAAATGTGGATGAACTCTATTTTGAAACAAAGTTTCTTTTGTAGTAAAACCTCTTATCCAATCACAAGCACTCAAAACAATAGCCAAAAGAAGCTTCTAATTTGCTATGTTCCCCACATAGAATTGCCTTAATATTGTAGCTAAAGAAAGCTTTCATGAAGTCGGAATCAGATATTAAATAAAATATTAGAAAATGCGCTAACTTGTAAAATTATAGCAGATTTTCTTGTTTGAACCAATGGATGGATGGATTATACAATACACAATTAGCACCTTCTTGCATTCCTTTGCCGTTTGCTTCTATAGTTCTTACTCGGGCCATTACTTAACTTGGGAACAGATTTATGGGATACTCTGAATAACTTTGTCAATGATATCACCAATTTTTCTATGTTCAGTTTATCAAGAAACAATTTGAAGACCTCAAGTGGTATGTGACAGAAGATGTGTTTGATGCTGTCACACCATATGGCAACAGTGTTACCTTTAAAAACATTATTGCAACACTGAATCCTACTGCACAGACACGCCATGTTATGTCAGCCCATTACGATTCTAAATTCTTCAACAACACAGATAAAGAGTTTCTTGGTGCTATTGACTCTGCTGTACCTTGTGCAATGTTAATTGAGCTTGCAAGAACTCTCACTCCATTGTTTAGGAAGAAAGGACTGGTGAGTTGTTACCCAACAAATGTTTTGATGTTAGTTACTGATATTCTTATGCTGATTGTATGATGTAACTTCTGTCGGACAGTGCAGAATACATGAGAAATGTCATATTTTTTTCTGTTAAAAATGTCTTTCAGAGCAATGTGGTAACACTACAAATGGTATTTTTTGATGGTGAGGAGGCTTTCAAAGAATGGAGCAAAACAGACTCTTTATATGGATCAAGACATCTGGCTTGGCAGTGGGAAAACACACAGGATGACTTTATGCCTCAAGATGCAACTGCATCAGTTTTACCAAACCTTTTAGACTCAGTGGTAAGGTTACATAATGGAGGAGAGCTAGGACATTATTTAATACAAACCAATAGTCACAGTATAGCTGCCTTTGTCTTTCTTTTTATGATATTGCACCTAAGTAAAATCTTAGTTGTTTCATTTAACTCAATAATATCAAGTACATGTGACTTGTATCACTAGTTAGTATTGTTCTCTTGTTAATATTGCTTTTAAGGTTAGGGATAGATTGTTGGTATCAATTTTTGTATAAGAAACTCGTTAATCCATCGTTGGAGGATTATAAGTAATGTTTAAAGGCCGACAATGAGGACTTGACGGGGTTTCAAAGTCCGTGCAATTAGTTAACTAATTGCAAGGACTTTGAAATCCCGTCAAGTCCGAATYGGAGKCCWYTGAAMGACTTCAAAAACTCATTAATTATTCGGGAGGGAAAAAAAGCGAAGGAAATACATATAACAGAAATATATTGATTTATTGCATCTCCACTAAGGTTTTCAGTTTTCATCATAATTTTGAATACATGAAGCACCGTTTGTTGTTCTTCAATTCCCGGACGTCTTTCTGAAACAAAAGCTATTCAAATTGTCTTTGTCTGCTATTCATGGCATTCCTATTCCTAATGAGCCTAATCCATAAGATTTATAAGTATGTTATCTTACGAAGAATTGGATCAGAAACTCGGTGGTGTAATGGTATAAGACGGCAAAACATCAGTAACTTGTTTCACCTACTCTTTTATGGTGTTAAAATTTATCTTTTTATACACAACTGTTTCTTTAAAACACTGAGGCAGCTCACACTAATTTACTGCTAGTTTCCACCACATAATGTATTATAATGTCTTTGTTTAGATATTGCTTTTTAGATCAACTTAACTGAAATTCAACTCAGTTCTATATTTTTTATTTCCAGAATTCATTAATTCTTCTAGATCTTTTGGGATCTGCAGCTCCTAAAATATATGACATGCATCCACCAACAACAGTTTTGTTTCAAGAACTCAGGAAAGCAGGTACAGCTATTCACTGATCTAATGCTAATATGAAGGAGTCTAACACTGTTGTTTTTGTAGAGGATATCCTGAATGCTGCTGGTCAGTTAGAGGACTATAATCACTTTCAGAGATATTTTCAATATTCAGAAAACAGTATGCAAATCTATGTAGAGGATGATCATATACCATTCATGGAAAGAGGTGAGTTTGAACAAATGATTGACAGAAATTGTTTTGTAATAAGATAAGTGTACATGTCTCTTATTGAAAGTGAAAACTGCTAAATCTACAAAACAAATATTACTGAATACTAATATTAATGGCTAAGAATAAGAATCATTGGTAAGTACATAATTTATTGTCTAGTCAACACAGTGTTCATTAGACATGCAGTAAAAAATAAAGGAATTATCAAAATATAGCATCTTTCTATTGTTTTGACTCTATACTGTCAATGAGGGTAATGAGAAGGATTAGGCTGTTTTTTAAGAACAACAATCCAGCCATGGGATTAACCTGGTTAAAACCTGGCAAATCTTCTAGTTGGCCGTGGGTGCAGGGTTTCAACAATGATAGATACCTAGTATTAAATAATTTATCACTTTTTCTGATATTGATCATTATCGTGGATGTCAGACTTCTGCCAATGATTCTTACAATATTATACATTTGTGTTAATTTCCATTATTGGTGTTTTCTAGATGTTCCAATCTTGCACCTGATACCAGTCCCTTTTCCAGAATGCTGGCACAAGTTTTGTGATAATTATGGAGCCCTCCACAATGCTACAATTCACAATCTGATCAAAATTATGAGAGTATTCACTGTTCATCTCTTCTCCTTGTGAAATTCAAATCATGATCAATTTCTAATTTCTCCTGAAAGATTATTTCCCCCAAAAGAACTTTAACAAGAAGTTAGAAATTGATCAATCTAAATCACACCTCAGTATATAAACTCTAAATGTATATCACAACCCTAATATATATAACAGACACCTCTAAATCAACATCTCATCAATACAATACATATACATATACAATACAACACAAGACAGTAATACAAACAATACAATACAATGCAATACAATACGATACACAATACAATAATACAATACAAACAATACAATAATACAATACAATAATACAAACAATACAATACAAACAATATAATTGTTTGAACATGAGTAAACTCCAATAAAGCAACAAAACACAGATATATATCACAGACACCTCTGTATCACAGATGTATCTCTACATACACGTTGAATTTAGCTTCTAGATGGAATGTGTACTGTAATGTTTGAAGAACAGAGGTGGTTGTGTGTAGGGTCCATTGATCAATTTGATTTTATCTATGATAGCACCATGTTGCTCACAGTTGCATTGTTTGAATATCTTTGCAGTCCATGTCTATAGGTTTTTCTTGATGGCAAAATTTAATATATTAATACCCCATCACTACCAGTATATGATGGTCAGAAACATGTTTAACAGCGCTAGAGTTTTATTATATGCATGCTAAATATCATGAATGTTTGCATCTATTCCTGTGGTTACATATTCTATACTGATGCATCATTTACAAATTGTTGTTGGATAACATAATTAGTTATGTATCAGTAGAAGATATTTAGAGCATGGTGGTTATTAAACCTGTCAAACAGGTTTGATAGTCAAGTAGACACGAAAGGATACAATTGAATTAGACCCTTGGTAAGGTGGACTAGTTTCCAATACCTATTACTTGCGTTTTTTAATTTTTACCCTTAATGAGTAGAATACCAAAGTTGAGAAACAAAATGTCTTGGAATATTGCATGTCCAGTCAGAAGTACCAAATCTTTCATTGACCATTCCTTTGTCATGACGATATCGTTAGTATATTAAGCTTTGAAGAGATTTATTTATTAGAAAGATTGTCCCTTGAAACAATAATTGTTTCTTAGCATGCCTGTCAATTGATAGTAAAATTGTGGCATGTAATTATTATTAGTCCCACAATATCAAGTCACTACTTTTCATGCCCTTTAATAATATATTAACATTGATTGTATTTTTTTATAAACACATTGGTGCATGAATAGTGTTTATTTGGAAAGCATTTTATATTTTAATTACAAGAAAAACAAGGTATGGGTATATGCTGCAATTTTCTATTGTGCTCACAATGCATTGTGTCTGCAAACAATGTCCTCCAAGGCAAAAATCAATAAAATTTTTAAACATTTTTGCAAAACCTTTTATTGCAAGAAAAACATAATTCATTGCTTGAGTGAAAAAGAATTGCAGTGTTCATCCACAATATCCAAGAATCATTTCAAAATCAGAAACAGGAACAAAGGATACGTGTTAATTTCCAATTACAATTAATTACAATTCACTATTAATTTTCATTTTTAAAAAACAATACATTTATTAGCATGCATAAATCTAATGTTTGGGTAACAGATACAACAAGAGCTCAATGAGAGGCAGAGGTCGACTAAACTATCAAAACAACAGCATGACAAACATTAGGAAGCAAGCCATGTCATCTTTTGATTGGTGTCATACTACAATCATTATAAGAAACACTGATATTGTATATTCCTTTCACCATGAAAACAGGCTTTGCTTACCCATCCTGGGTGTCTGCTCTAAGCTCTTGWTAGACTGTATTGTTAATATTATATATACTATATATACTATTTCATTTCTTACTGAGTAGTAACAAAAAAGATTAAATTRTTATTAAAAACACACTTACTTCATTGCTTAGCGTTATACTTTATTTAATGTTTTTGTCTGTTGTACAAAATTAACAAAACTTTGCTGCTAGCAGTTTTTTTACACTACAGTTGTGATCAGGACTGGCATCCTCAATTATTCAAGTCTCTTCAATTTATACTCAGGAAATATCTCAAATTGCCACAATTATTTTAATATCTTTTTCTTATATTTCCAAGTACCTACTTTTGAAATTGTAGCTTTGGGCTTGAATTATATAAGGGTTCAAAATCTTATGAAAGGACTTTCACTCATCTATATTTGGCATTCAGACATGAGCAATTTACGTTGTAAGATTGTATAATCAACACCTAAACATTTACATACAAGTACTGTAGCTTTAATAATAATAATAATACATGTAATAATGAAGACACTAAATACATTTCAACAACAACTACATCAAAATATTAATTTTTTTAAACATTGCATGATAAAAAATAATTTTTTATTTTTGTTTTATTGTTTTTTCATAAAAATATGCTAATTAATAATTATTCAAGAAACTGAAATATTACAATAACTGATTCCCCTTTATTCACTAATACCTGTTTGAACCATTAATGGTCATGACTCTGTTCTTTGATGTAAACATGGTTGGATCAGATGGAAACCAAATCTGTTCTCTTACCAATAAATCATCTCAAACATTTTATGAATTGCTTTTTTGTATTCAATTTCCCTTGTGTACCATACTTATTGATAAGACTGTTCAAATTGAGTGATAGTGACTATATAATAACAGTCCCAAAATAAGATGAGGTATATCAACTATTAGATATTTCATAGCAAAAGTGCAAACAATTGTTTCCCCATATTGTTCCGATTTTTTTCTATATATATATTATGCATGATCACCTGTCGATTGTTGCTTTTCTAACAGAGAACCAATGAAACCTAAATACTGACAATTGTAGCCAATTAATTATGCACATATTGATTTGTTGTGATTGATTGACAATGTTCAATAGCCATGCTTTTCTTTGATTAACCACAACTTGTCAATAACTGCTTGCTGTGGAAATAAAGACAACAATCACATTAYAGTCTCTACCAGGATTATGGTCTCTACTTCACATAATTCATTTCAAACCTTGTCAGTGCTAAACTGTTCCATGTAAATGTGGGTACCATTGTGTACTTGCATACGTGTATACCCATAGTCTGTTGACCGATATGCYGTCCAGGGACCATAATGATTTCGGAAAGGATCATGATTTTCAGAACAACCCTGCATTATAACAACAAGAGGTCAACCATCATCATTGCAAAGTATACTAGTCATTTGTCTCATAAAGTAGATCATGGGTACCATCCCCAGGCAGTCATCCCTTGAGAGAGTACTACAGTTTCTCATGAGGCTATGTCATAAACTATACATAGGCAAAACCAAGAGACCTGTAAGGGAGAGATTGAAAGAACATCACAGAGGTGCATGCTTGGTAAAGATCATCACCCATCTACTATCCAGTCATCTACTATCCAGTCATCTACTATCCAGTCGTCTAATATCTCTACATGACAAACACAACTTGAAAGGGAAAGATGTCAAGTCTATCATACCAGTAGAGAAACATTATTAATGTAGATACTGCAGGCATTGAATTACCAGCATGTTACATGTAGATGATGACAAGTATTAAAAGCCAATATAGATTATCCAGCATATGAAGACTACCACAGCAGTGAAAATGTAACTACAGTACTGGTACCCCTGACCTCAAGACAAATGATTAGGTATCCTTTTAATAACTAAATCCATTCTCATAGAACTAGACTAATGGAACTCATATAACAGGCCGCCAGCCTTAGGTTGACACCTAGACTTGTTCCACTCATTATATTACTTTTAATTAATAATTGTCAGATGTATCAAGAACCAAGGGAGATGAAGCTTTGCCAATAATATTAAAAGCTATTATCACAGGGGTAAAACACTAGAAAAACAACCATGTTACTCACAGCAGAACCAGTAATAAGATGAACAGGAGCACAAGGATTGGTGTAAGGTGCTTCAAGACTGCCATTGCAAATCTAAAAATAAACAAGAAAATAAATAGTAATAAAGGTATGACTGACTAGTTTTGCCAAAAAGTTGTCTCCACTTATTTACATTTTTKCCACATATTTAATTAAAGTTGATGGAAACAACAGTAAAAATGTTATCACAAGGAAATAGGTTACCTGTCGTTTGTAAACGGGAAACAAACGTTCATAGGAATGCTCATGAGCCCAGATCTCCAAATCAACACCTAAAAAAAAAACAGATCATCAAATATTAAAAATCTTGATATTACTATGACACAACATCAATCTATTCAAAACAATCTACTGTTTTGATGCTAATGATTATGAGGAATCTTAATAATAGAACAGCAATGAATAACACCTCAATATTAACACTATAAACAGAGATGTGAACTGATATATATTAACAGTATATAGAAGATATTACTCCATAGTTCCATCTGTAAACATACTATTTAAACAATAGTCAGAATATTTTAATTGTTTGCATTATCAGTGATAGTTATCCACAGAAAACAATTAGTCTCACGAGACCACTGGTTTACTTCAAAAACACAATTTCTGAAAATTATTTTGCTAAATGTGATTGTCTATAACTTAAGAGGATACATGCAAATAATTGGTTTAAGACTTTGACTGTGTTAACAAAAAGATTAACAAAGCTTGCTGTAATAAAAATGATGAATCAAACACTGCAAAAAATGAAAATCTTTATATTTACTGAGAAGTTGATTCTAACCCTCTTGAAGGGGTACTTTGGGGGGTCCTGGATCCCRCAATAGCGCAGAAAAAATTGGAAATCCCGCAATACTGCAAAGAAATATCGAAAATCCCGCATCCYACAAWTTTTTTTACAAATTAAACTTTTTTTCAACGAAATGCAAATATTGTAWGACAGCCATGCAATGCACATTTTAGTTGTGAAAAYAAAAACCTACWGTAACCATTTTATCAACTTAGATTGCTTTTTTTACTGCAAGTCAGTCAGTACTTTGAGTGACTACTGAAAATTTTCACAAAAAGAATAAGCTTAAGAATAAGTTTAGATGTTCTACCCGACAAAAMTTTTCGCCTCATTTTCCTTCTTCATAGAAAAATGAAACACATTCTATTATACTTGTAGATATTGAAGTGCTTTGTGAGCTTTGCTGTTCTTTGACTGACTCTATCTCAACTACKTCTTTACTGGCCATGATACAAGACTTGATAGATCAGTATGCCAGATACTAGCATGACCTTGCACAGYTTGCGTGAATCTAAAGGTCRYTCAAGTGACATTATGACAATCTTTGTTTCTGATTGGTTGTAAATTGAAATATGACATATGATATCCTATCTGTCACAATTTCTTACAGCTTGAGATGACATAAAAAAAATTAAATCCTCACGTCCAGCTGGGATTAATGTTATCACAATATCGCAATTCAAAAAGTATTTTCCCATAAACATCTGAAATGTCAGTAAGTTGCCAGGGTGTTTTATGACAGCTGATTATCCAAATCAAAAAGGATTCATACCATATTTATAGAATAAATCTTCCAGGCCCCACTTGTGATTTTCACCAATACCTGTACGCACCTAAAACAAACAAACCTGGACATCAGACAAAAATATAGYTTCTTCCTTACATATTGTTKCAGATGATCTAAATACARACAGGGTCAAATCAATCAAATACTGTACTTACAATACTCTCATGTTCTGAGCAATCGTCCCKGTCATTATTAGAACAATACATTGGACGATGAGCCATGGTGATGATCCATGGACGAAGGGTTCTGTTTTCTGGTGCTGTTGCTTCCTGTATTTAGTAAATTGCAATTTCTTCAAATAAAACTGTTTGATTGGCAACTGTTTTTCACATGTTACTGAAACTATTACAATCCAAGCCAAAAAAAGTTTTTGTGGTCATAGGAAAAACAAAGGGATACCATGCAACAACTTAATATTATTATTTGCTTTAAGTTTTCATGTAGGAAAGATATAATACCTTGAGGTCTTTTTCTAACCATGCATACTGCTCTGGAATTCTTTCCATGCCTTCCTCTTTCCAGAAGAAGTAAAATTCAGATGAAAAGCTGATTAGGTGAACTGGTCCAATATTAACACTTTGAATGAAAGAATAACATTAAGGTACACAACTAGATTATATTTAAGCAGATTCAGACTGATCCAACTATTGGTTGAGAGAAGAAAAGCAGAGTCCACCTGTGGTACTACAGTACATCTTGATTCAGTGCTTCTTGGGATAAAATTAGTCAAGATTTATGGAACACTGGTCGCGTGATGGATTGATGTGTGCCCAAGGTATGTCCTCCCATCCCTATCATTTTTTCATAGCTTTCAAGTCCTTTTGACAATTACAACTGTCCAGTTTTTTTCAAAGTTCTCACGCTAATTTTGCTCCTCATCAACGTCTATTGCTCCTGCATCGGCTGCCAGAAAACATRGATGATCTTTCATAGCTTTTTCTGGTTTCTTTGCAGTTGTTGGAAAGCTCCATGTCAATATTTTGGAACTTGAAAACTTCATGGAAAAGATAGGACAGTGCAGTGCGAGAAACAATTAGTTTAACAGCAAACATGAAGCACAGGATGAGAAATACCACAGGCAATCCACATTTCAAAGAGTGTGCTTTGATATTATAAAAGCGTGCACAGCTCGTTCATTTTTTACTCTCAAGCAAAAGTTGGGCAGCCTATATCTTAGCAAGCTTTTAGCCTAACAGTGTGTACCATACAGTTGTTCATTGAATAATAATTGGTTTGGTCAATTTTAAATTGGGCATCATACCGATATGTTCTTAAAAGAAGCCTAGTTTTCAGCAGTACACCATTTCTCACCTGTAGTACATGTTTTGATTATTACCAAACAAAGGCATAGTAAACCTTGCTCTGTAGTTGGAGAAATTACTATGAAACAAAAACTATCATCAGCACTTTGCTTTGAAAAAAAAACTTGCAATGCTTTGCTTCTGGCTGTGATTAAATCAACAATTAATCAGACATTGACTTTCATCAATGCTGAAAGAAATGCCTCTAAATGATGGTACTTACTATGCATATTCATGGTTCCCAGGGCATGTCATGTAAGGTAAATATGCAGCGATTGGCTCTATTTGCCTCATAAACTCATCGCCTACCTTGGATTCATCCTGKTTGTACAACCAAAATTATTGTACCATTAACACAAGACTAGG